AAGAAAAAGCAAGTGCTTAGTAAAACTGAAACACAGAGGAAAGGAAGGATGTTAGGTATGGAGTAGAGAGACCAGAGAGGATGATGTAGGACAAAGTGAAAACCAGTGGTGAAAGGAGGGACTATAGAAAGGACTGACAATGTAAAGAGGTGAAATAAAACATGATCTCTTCTGCAGACGTTCATGATTAAGAAAGGTTGTTTCTCCTTCATTTTTATTTCTTTGGCACAGAAGGAGAAACTGTAGGGTGGAGGAAATTAAGTGTTTGGTGCTTGTGCTGATGGAAACTTTTGTTTCAGCCACAGCTCAGGCAAGGGAAGAATTTCCCCCTGGTCAGATGCAGGTGAGGGCTTACAGAGCAGTCGTATCTGTGTTGGAGGCAGAAGCCGTTAATATCTGTATTAATTTGTCAAGCCTTTACTAAGGAAAGCAGTGTTAATGAAGCTTTAACATACTTGCCACTGAGATGTGACATGTATCTATAAATATTCAAGGAATGATGGGATCACTTAACCACTCCTCCTTCATTTCAGCCTCGGTTCCCATCCCAAACTGGAAAAATTTTTATGCACTTTGGCTTGTCTCAGTTAAATTAACACCCCCACCCCTCTTTCTATACCTCCTTTCCTGTCTACTTCTTCTGAATCACTCTCTCGAGCTGTGTCCAGGATGCTTTCAGCTCTGGCGTTGAACTGCAGCTTGTCACTAAAGGCATCCTGGCGTGTACATAAAGGGATTTGGAGGTGGAAATGACCACCAGTTAAATCACCTCATCCTCCCTCCAGTCAGTCCAGGATTGTTCCTGCTGCACACTCCCAAGGGTTTGGGGTTTTAATGCTTTGAGCAACAGAAATTCCACCTCCACCCCCTTTGGGAGGGGTGCCTGAGGGCTAATAGACCACATTGTTATGCAATTTTTCCTGATACATAGCCTACATTTTCCTTTGTTTGATGTCTTTACTTCGTTATTCCTATTTATAACTGGTGCTGGGTGAGTCCCAGGTGGCTCTCAGGTTTATTTTTGTTTAAGAAGGCATGCAAAAAGGCAGAGACTCATTCACATTCTTTAAACCTTTTGGTGACTTCCTGACAGGCTTCGTTATTTCTTCCCTAAAACTGCCCAGGACTCAGTAGAAAGCCTCATTTCTCTCTATCCCAGGACGGTAGAAGGTGGGATACTAGCCAGTCCTCTGCTCTGGTAAATCTCTTCTGGGAATGAAGACTAAAGCCCCTATCTCCTCAGTCTATAATTTGCCTTTTCTAGTCATTACCCAGTAACCTATTCCTCCAGTTTAATTTCCTTTACTCATCAGGCTGTTGATGTGCTTTTGGTTCTCCCTGACCTAACTGAGGGGGCTTATCAATCCCTTTTTACTGGACCTCTTCCTTTGATGCCTGAGCATGGAAGGCACTTCTCAAGTATTTTTCCTTAAAAAAGAAAGGTCTTTCTTAAGGTATTATTCCAATTGATAATCCCATTAATGAAGTAATCATGGAAGTAAGTGGAATCCCCTCCCTTGTTCTGAAGTAATCTTGCATGACAGGATTCAGTCAGGGGCTGTGAATTCTTTTCTCTAGACTCTCCCTCCATCCTGCACATGGAGACAAGTACTGCACAGGAGTCTCAGCATAGTCCACACTTTAAGACAACAGTTCAATATAATTGTTACTGGCAATCCTATTCAGCAGAAGCATATTATACATGTGTGCACGTTTAAGGACAGACAGTGCTGTCGGGACTTTCTTACTATCTGAAATTCTTCATCATGGGAGCAGCTTTCTCCTTCAGATGTCAGAGACGAGTCCAGTCCTTCACTCAGGTATCTAATTTGGCCTGAACACATAAGCCACACTCAGAGGTACTGTTCCTACTATTGTCCTTTTAAGAAATACTAGTTACCAGGGCTATAACAAGCCCAAATTGTGTCTTTGTTTGGTTTGAAAAGGGATTAAAATCCCAAATCCACATTGCTGTCAGAATAGCCCATGCACTATAGTGTATAGTCTGTCTTCTCACTCTTTCCCTTTGAAGGCTAACTTACAATAATAAATTATTCTGCTGCAGCAAGAGAAATAAGTGAGAAATGCCTGCTGTAGTCTGGTAGTCTAGGCATTTAGATTATGAAAAAAAATATTTTTACATGCCTTTACTAGAGGCATTTCATTTTTGTATAACTGTAAATGAGTTCAGCAAGACACTAGTTCACAAATAGTACTCATGTTTAGATTATTCTTTTAGGAGACAGAAATACTGCAGTTCTATCCCTGATCCCCATCCAACACACTGGTTTTCCCCTAGTCATGCTACTGCTACTACTCTAACACTAGGCAAGAGGTAGGAGGAAGAGGCACAAGCACTGCTTGTCCTGTATGTTTTGTATGGTTTAAATATGTTGTTAGGTTGCTAGACCCCAGAAGGGGGACAAGGAGAATTAATGAATTGTGAAGATTGCTGACTCCTAGGCAGTACAGTAGTTGCTGGTCTTCAGTGGCTGTTCATATAGTAAATACTAGGAATAGAATACGATGGGGATATTGTCTGCTTTGGTACTATAGAAATATAGGTGGGAGAAGAACAGGGCTTTCATAGACAAGAGCTTCCTATGTCCCTTGTCCTGGACAAACATAAATCCATGGTTACAGGTTTTGCCATCAGCCAGTTTCAGAGATATATGTATATATATATCTACAATTTGAAAGCAGAAGTTGATTGTCTAAATCTAATGGCAGTGTCAAGACACACCGATAATAAACCACTGCACTGCCAGAACAAGTATCTAAACAACATAATTACTTATAGAAAGGAAAATTTCTTTTTCTTTTTTTTTTCCTGAGGCAGAGGACTGAGGATCATCAAACCAACCCTAACATGACTCAGGAAGATTTATTTAGAGTAGCATATATACACAGGGAGACCCTTTCTGGCATTACAGACTGTAAATTATGGTTATTCCTAGGAGGCAACAGAAGAGGTTCTGTCAGTTGTACAATTGCTTGCTATTGGCAGTGCTCTTTCAATTCAAGAAAACATTGGCTGAGGTTCAGGACCAAGATTTGGCTCAAATGCCGCCATAATTTTTCAGAAATGTAATGAATGTTCCTCAAGAAATAGTTTCCTAAGAAAGCCACAAAAATGCGTTCAGCTAGGTTACAGGATATCTAGAATGATATCCAAAATTTTTACCATTGAAGATCAATTCCCTTAATTTCACCAAAGGAAATTTTTACCTGTCCAAATGGCTGATAACTCCCTTACAAAAGATATCCAACACATTTGGAGGGACTCTTTCATAAATACCAGTATATGTATATATGCACACAACTCATCACACACATCTCAAACACCGATTTTGAAGGATAAGCTATCAAAACAGGAAAAACAAAATAGAATGGAAGAAAGTCCTACCACTGTGAAGGTAATGACTTGTCGGATATGCACTAATAGCCTGAGAGTCACATACTGAACATAAATTCAGTCAATAGTATCTCATGCTATATACCCATGCCTGAGTAAACCTTATCTTATAGAAGCTGATGAGATTTTTTTCCACTGCTGCCAGTGAAGGCAAAATGTCAAAAGCTGCTCCTGCTGTCTTCCCTGCCAATGTATGCCTACAATATAGAAGGGGTAAAGCATGTTTCATTACTGATCTCAGTTCTAGGAATCTTAGAATATTAGCAAACATTAGTAAACTAACCTTTAGGTTACTCTTACTAGAATCTTATATTGCTAGAAGGGACTGGATACAAGTCATGTAAAATGTGCACTTTTGAAAAGATCACAAAACACCTTTAATGGTTACTGCAGTTATCAGGAACACAACAGACTACTTGTACAATTTTTTTTCTACAGCACTTAATACAAAATTACTGGAAAATTGCTAGATTCTTCCAGAGAATTCCTGTTTGCAATGGGATGAAGACACAATCAAGCAAACACAAGCAAGCACAACAATCAAGCAAAAGCAGGAGAAATAGTAATTTCTACCTGTACAACATTCATACAATTAGAAGTGTATCTCTGAGGAGGCAGATGTAAAATTACCTCAATTCTAATGTATACTGGGAATATCTTCTCCAGTTTTAGGAAGTTAAGCCCTTTGCACCTTTAATCAGCTGTCCAAACTGGTAATATTTATTTCCTTATTGGCAATATTAAGTTAATTAAATTTGGTGACATATTTAGAGACTTACTAGTGAAAGGCACTGCAGCTAGAAAAGTAGTTCAACCCTCCCCTAACTGAATGGGCCTCTCTAAGCCTGTATTTTCATTCTTTGCTTTTTTGTTTCCTGGGCTGCAGAAAGATTTTAGGTTTGTAGTTAACCCAGAGGTTCTTTCCATCTCTCTATCAACTCTCAAATGAATTTTTGGTACTTGGATTTTTGGTACTTGCAGTTTTGATGCTAGTGTGATCAGATACTTCTTCCTCATGCTCATTTCAAAGTTATTTTAGATTATAAAGGTCTGGCATACTCTCAAGCACAAATCTTAAATCTGGCAACATTTCTCCAACAGACACACGCATACAGAAAGCAGAAGGCTAGACAAAACAGGATAATTTGAAAACTGTATTTAATAGAACAGGAAAGAAACAAAATTAAATTCCCCCAATTGGGTAAGATTGCTGCAAAGAAATGAGCTTGTAGCTCAGTAGAATGTGTAAGTTTTGCCTCTATGCAAGCTATAAAAATTAATGCTTACTAGTTAAGGTTCCAGTGTATATAAATAATTTGGTTCCTATTTAATTGCATTTCTGGAGAACTGAGGAGAAACAGACAAACACCCAAGGTTTATTTACACTGATTAAAACCTCTCCCAGACCTTAAAATACCAAGGAGAATTTTCTTCCCAAAGAAAGGTTAGATTGTATCCTGATTTTATCAGTTGCTAATCACCATTAATATCTGAGTCTTAGACCCAAGATAACCCTCCCATACCATCTGAGAGTACCGTTTATATGAAACAGACCAAGAATGTAATATACAGGTGATAAAAGACATCACAGAAATATATTCCTATGTCTTTAATGGAAAAATTTTGTTACAATTTAGGTTATGTGATATTCTTGCATTTTTAAAATGTGTGAAAGAAAATGCACAGAATAAAAATTGAAAGACACCAATGAATGTAGATATTTTAAATGACAAGTCATAAAAGAAATAAAATACATTACACAAATAAACAAAGTTTATATCCACAGTCATGAATACACACTCTCCTCTACACAATAAATAAAATCACATTATATGCAGATAGTTCTACTTACATCAGTACAATATACTGTGCAGCTTTCTGTTTGTTTTCTACTAGACTCATATTATGTTTCTCTGTTGTCCAGTATTTTTACATTAAGAATGAACAATATCACCAAAAAAGGGGGACAAAGTTAACGTCCACAGTGTCTATCCTGAGTCCTTTTAGTTTTGTGATAATCACACCCTTTGCACAAGAAACACAGCAAATTCTACCCATTAGTTTCATCCCATTACTCTACCCAAATCTTCTCAGCACTTCTAGACCAGCACACAAAACCAATATTGTTACTAAGTGAAAACACAACCTTAGGGCATGGTACACCCTGAGCAGCTCCTACACACAACTTAAATCCTGCTTAAAAGGATCTAAAAGATGAGAGGGCTATGTGAGATTTGAAAGGTGAATAAGTTTCCAAGTCTCCGATAAAGCAGATATTGAACAATAAGGACAGAAAAAGCTTGATTCCAATCCTCTGTAGAGTCAACAGTATCATCATAGTAGTATCATCAATCCCTGAGCATTTTCCCTCTTCTCTCTCCCTAATTCAACTGCACAGATGTTTTCTGTATATTCTCAAGAGATGTTTTCATCCTTTGGATCCTATACTGCATAAGGCATCACAACTTTTGCCACAAAGTTACATCAGGCAGATGCTAAATATGGGAGGAACATCTATCATCTCACATGGCACCAAAACAAATGACCTCTGATTAGTAACTGTGATACTGACTTTTCAGAGATGGTTTGTTCTTCATCACACTACCTATGCAGTTCACAGAGAAAGAGAAGTCCAGATCGTCACCAGGCACAAGCCAACATAGCTGTGCTCATTATGTCTGCTGATAGTGTAGTGTAACATTAGCAAGACCTCTCTTCATCGTCTGGGGAGGAGACTTGTGTGTTCCCTGTGCGTATCAGTTGAGATTACAAGAAAAAAAAAATGCAGACATTAAAACAAGATTTTTTTTTTTAATCCCTTTTTTTGGTACATTCTGTTTGCTTGCTCAAGTGTCCTCTAGAAACATTCAGATGACAAACACCAAGCAACAGTTCACACAGAGTGAATTTTAACCTTTCAAAGATATAATACCTAATGAATCCACATAAGATTTCTAAAGTACTATAGCTTAACATACAAACTTTAACAGTGTCAGGTTACTTAAAATACTTTGCCTTAGATGCAGCATAAGAACTTAGTGGTTAGTGAGAGATTCTGAATAAGCTCTAAGCCTCTCCTTTTGAAAGCTGGCTTTGTATGCTGCAAATTTGGTGCATGTCAGGTAGGAGTCATTCTGAAAGGTACATTCTGGATGAAGTAATAGCATAATAAAACAGTCTATGTAATGATATTCTGGACATAATTAAACAGTAGCCCAAGAAAGCCTCAAAGCTGTGACAGCATTGTCTTCCTGATCAAAACCAGCAGGAAACTCACAAAAACGCTATCATTAACCTGTGTCCTTTCTCTCTCTACGGGTGAGATAAAGGAAGAGCTGCATTTATGCCAGACTTAAGGGTTCAGTGGGGCAAACCACAGTGCTTAGGCCTCTTCTCATTCTTCAGAAAAGACACTATCAAAAGTCTGCCACACACTTTGATGATCCCTGTAGACAGCCAAATCTGAGGTCTCTCACAAACAGCTATTTGTTTTAATTTCAACAATCATTTTCCATCAGTCTCAGAGCTCAGATGTTAAAAGGTATTCAAGAATACAAAAAATACAGGCCTCAAGCCGTTTGATTTCATTTCTGTCTCTAAGCAGGGATACACACAGTGCAAACACTTCCATTCTTCCACTTGAAAGACTTCATATACGCACAATCTTTTTGTGCTTTCAACAGCAGAAAGAAAGGGTGGGTAAAGAGGAGAGATACACAACACATTTGAAGGTGAAAATTTTTCCAGCACGTCCTTGAAAACATACTCCAAAAAATAACTTTTGTACTTTGTTTCTAAAAAGGGCTAAAACTGCCTCCTACAAAACACACACTTTACTGAAATTGTCCCTTCATGGCTCACACTTGTGAGCCAAGATACTAGGACATGTTGCTGATTGACAGAAAAGGTAATGGACCATTAGAAACTCAAATTTCTATTCCCATATGCCCTGTTTTGTGGAGAGTGGTCACTAGATTTGGTGTCGTTTTATAGTAAAAACAATTAGGGCTTAGATAAAAAGAAAGGCTGGCTGACATCACCTGGCGTCATCTCACGATGTTGGACTAGTTCATTTTTGCTGATCTCAGTGGCACCCAGTTATCATTTTAATGGGATTTGAATGGGATTGCTTTTATAACCACAGTTATTTATAGAAGCCTTGGCTGTTTTTAAAATGAAAGGATACTAACTGAAAAATTCAGATTAAACTTCAAAAAGTTTTCGTTTGATCTGATTTTTCAGTTTTGCTTAGTTAAAAGATGGGCCACATCAGACAATTCTGGGTCCACACCTCCAGTAACAGCCAATATGGCCATTGCCCAGCACCAGATGTGAAGGCAGCTGAGCAGCACTGCAGCAATGCCAGTGGCTGAAATTATACAAAAGCCACCTCTCAGTGAAGAGGGAGCATCTCTGACTAAATGCTGGAAAATAGCTGTCTCTTTTCAAAGTACTTCTGAAGCTAGAGAAAAGAGCCTGAAAACAGTGGAGAATTCAAATGTTCACACTAGCCTGGGAGAGAAAGAGGAAAAATAACCTCATCTGCTTTATTTAAAGAAACAGACCAGCTACACAGCTACTCTGAAATGCAAAGGAAGGTAGTGAAGGATGTGGAACTGTCTTGAGCTCCAGAAAAGGTGGACTGAATTGTCACAGAAATTTACGACCAGAACTATTAGCTTCCTGTCTTTGATGTCTATTCTTGGCTTTCCAGGGGCATTATGGCATTCATGAGGTGAAAATCAGGCCAGAGCCAAGGTCAGCTAAGGCTGATGCAGCCTGTTCCACTGCAAAGCTGAGAAATTCACTCTGAACTGCTTCAAGATGCTGAGTTTAAAGCCTGGAGACACTTCACTGAGGACCCAAGTCTACTTCCACTGAATCAACGAAAGGGTTTTTTTTCATCAGCTTAATGGAAGTATGATCTCATCTCCTAGCTGAAAAGCAGAGATTCATTCAGTAAAACACGCTGTCAAGGAGCACACTCTTTTGTCCAGCACAAATGTTTTCAAAGCATTAGATAAACTTTAATAATTCTACATTAAAAAACAACAGAATACTTTCAATAATGCCGTAAAGCATTTGATAAAACCAAATTGAAAATAGATAAATAAAATTTACTTTCAGAAGTGAGCAAATATAGCTCTTGAATAAACAGAATTCTAGCCAAAATCTTGCAAGGCGCACAGTACTCTCAATTAAAAGTCTTAGCAATGACTGAATGAACTTAGCTGAGAGTGCTCTTCAATGAAGCACATCACAGAAAGAACTGGAAATTAACTGGTGATGGTGATAGTCATAGACAACTCAGGACACACACACTGTCCACAGACAAAACTTCCAGAACTACCAGTGGCCCAGTACATAACATCCAGGCATCTGACTCTAAAGTTGTGGGTCTCAGCATACTAAATCACCAGTACTATGTCAAGTTTTGCTTCATCTTTGCCAACTTGCAGTTGAAGTCTAAATGTTGAAGATAAGAATGTGGAAGGCAGATCACAGAAGACTCATGAACTGTGAGATTAACCAGATATTAAGCTGACCAGCATTTGGTAATTTAAAAAAAATGCTAAATTAGCAGAATTTATCAAAATTTGAACAAAACCAAAAAAAAAGTATGAAGCCACTAGTTCAATTTAACAGGCACAACAGTAAGATTTAGCAATAAACGTATTACCTACGGGGCCAACCTTTCTCCAATTCAAGCACATGGCAAGATTCCCTTTCATTCAGCCATGGCTACAATTATACCCTTTCGTTCCAAGTGAGCAAAGCTCTTATCAGCTGAAGTTGAGTGATTTAAAGTGTGTCCTAACTTGCTGAGCTGTGTCAAAGCCCTCCTTGTGCTGCTCTGTAATACAGATTTATGTTTTTAATAATAATAACAATAAAAGCTAAAAATGTAGGTTTTTGAAAACTCTTTTGAGAATAAATTATTTTAATTAGACATTCCCTTACAGAGTTTGAAGCCTAAACATTCTGACATTGAGCTAATGCAGATGAACCAGAAAGGAAGCGTGCATTAGCTGGTAAAGAATCTCTCTGCTGAATATTCTAAACTCCACACAGTTTTTGATTTATGGTCGATAAAAGACTTGGGAAGTATTATTAAGAGCACTGAGAAAGGCAGCTAAGAAGTGCAAGTTTATTTATGCTATACAGTTATCTACTTATGTGGAATGTCTTTAACAATCTCCACACTTCCATGGGGAAAATTAACAGGTAGGTGTGCACCAATGTAGAAAGATTAAAGCCCATTAGTATAAAATGTTCTAATGTGCAAGAAAGGTTCACCTTTGTTGGGAGGTGTTGGGATGTAAAGTGTGGCTAGGCCTCCATCAGCATCCCACCAACAGATATCTCATAAGAAAACTTCCTGATTAATAACCCTACACTATTTTAATTAAAAAGTGGACTTTCATTAAACTTTTTTTTTTAAATATGCTTAGTTATAGTAAGATGACAATAGAAGAGCTGTACTGACAATTTATTGTCCCAGACACATCTCCTGGCTTGTGTCTTCTGGTCTGACCTGACAAGAAACATGCAGACCTATGCTACTGTCCTGCTCTCTAACTAGTGATTGTTTCAGTACCAATTCACACTGCAAGACAAGTAATAAAAAACAATTTCAAAAAAAGTTTATGCTTCAAATAATATCCTCTTTACATATTTGAAAATTTTCCTTCACTTTTTCTGTGGCAAAGTACTCAAGTGGATGAAAGAAAGTAAAAATATTGAAAGCCATATTTGCAAAACAAGAAGTAGATCAAAACTCCCTGGGAAATGATTTTAAAACCCCCAAATCTTATGCGTGCTCCTGAGCTAGATAAACTCAGCTGCTTGAAAAGAATTCCCAAAACTGGTCAGGAAGTCTTTGGTTCTCCAGACCTACCAGTGGCCTAGGACAAAGCATCCAGACATCTAACTCTGAAATTTTGGGTCTCAACGTACTAAATCACCAGTACTATGGCAAGTTTTGCTTCATCTTTGTCAACTTGCAGTGGAAGTCTACATGCTGAAGATAATAATGTGGAAGTCAGCACTCCACAGCACTATGAAAATGCTGCTCTAGCCTACAGTGTTTGCTGGTGCCCATGAGAAAAAGAGGCTACTTCAAAAAACTGTCCATTGACTGCAGCGTTACTTTGGTCACACATGCTCAGACTGGGAAACAGGATGATGGAAACCTACTGGGTAAACAACACCTATTTCAATGAGTCCTAAAGATAGCAAAGCTACCTGGTCTACATCCACCAGCTATACTGAAGCTGCCCTGACAGTCAGAAAACCTTTCCCTCTGGCTGTCTGGGACATGGGACAGTATTTTACAAGGGCAGGTGATGAATTCTGGGAGGCAAGTGTAACATAAGGAAAAGAGTCCAAGGAAACACTCCATTGGTTATTTCCCCACCAACAAATGAAAGACAGAAACAAGGCAGAGCCAGCTTTTGCTCTTTCTTCCAGCTACCCTGAAATGGTATCTATGAATTGGCACTCTGGCTTTTCAGGGCCTAGAACTTCTGTAGAACACAGGCTTTAGGGCCAGTTTTGAGATTAACTTTCAAGTCTGACTGACTGCTGAGACCAGGAAGTTCTACTTATGAAATCAAAATAGGATAAATCAAAAGATTTCATGCACTAGAACCACAGTCATAGCTGCGTTTTCCCATGGACAGTATTTTTATGGATCTTGGTCATCACATTTATAATATGCACTGTTCATTTCCATTTGTTGACTAGAAAGCACAGAGCTCTCCTTTGTCTAATATAAAATAAGACGTTAGTAGCTAATTCATCACAGATTCAGTTTTATTCCTGGTAAAGTCAATGGCAAAAGTCCAAGGGATACCGACAGCAGCAGGACTGAAGTCAGCCGTAGAGCAGTGTTTTACCACCCCAATTCCTGAAGGTAGTTCCTTGGGTGTTCAATTGTACATACACAAATATTTAGTCTCACTGACTAATGTAGAACTATTTAACATGTGAAAAGTTCATTATTTTCAGGATCAGGTCCATCATCACATGGACAATTCAATTACTGCATGTATATTTTTTAAATAACTATTTGAATGTTGCACATGTCTGGAAAAGAAAGTAGGGCAAAAAGTCTGTTACTATTGATAAAGTCACTTCTCCTTCCCTAAATACTAGTTCTAAAACATATTTACAGCTGTTGACTTTCCCTGCATGTTACTTCTATCATAAAAAATAAGTCTTCAAAACATCCCTTCCTTAATTTTTAATCCTACCAAAGCAAAAATAGATACTTTAATAGAAAAATACAAGATAAAAATATCCTAAAAATAAAATGATAGCACGGAATGTCATTTTTACACAAAAAAAAAAGATCCCCTTTTGAACTGTGTCAGCTATACAAACACTTTTATATTTACAGTTTTGGATGCAGCCCTGTGCTCCCTGAAGTTAATGGGATTTTTGCCATTGACTTCACTGGGAACAGAAGCAGGCCCTACATGGACTATACTTGTCTCTTTAAAAGTCATGGCAGTGGAGAGTAAGAAGCTTGATAAAACGCACATAAGACTGAGGAATTAGGCAGTCCTTTCTGGAGGCCTGATTGCCTTCTCTCTCACTATGTCATATTAGTGAAACTTCACATCCTTCACTGGAGTTTTTGCTAACTCCCATCATCTAAGAAGGAGAATCAGTGCTTTTTATTGTGATACTACACAAACAAGGAATTTTTTGTGGGTGTTTTCCACCTGCTGACTTTCTCAGTAAAGTTAATTATGCCCCAATGGAATTAATTACACCCAAGTGCCAGTTCCCTCCCAGAACTAAACTCTATTTGCCCAATTGTGTATCCCCTATAATCGATGGCAATGATTCAGTGATGCAGAATCATCCCCAACTGAATCCCTTTCTTCCTTTTGACAGCAACCAACACCTCTGCCTGTGAAACCATATTTGATACCTATGTGTGAGATACAATTAAGGAAAGAGGTGGTAGGAGCTAAGAAAAGAAAGAAGAGGGAATAGAATGAGGCATTCCCCATCAACTAAACCCAGATCCACTCCGCTTAATCTATGCTTTAAGAAATACCATCTTTACATACTAGGTATGTCCTGTAACAGCAAACTGCATCATTTTCTTTTTTCATGAGATGAAAGGCCATGTGGCACAATGTAATTAGTAAATCATTCCTGAGCTTCTGAAAGAAATTAAGACAAAATTACTGCTTAAAAGAGTGAGTTCAAGAGCCTCTTCCTTTTACACTGATGTCTTTGGTTGTGTCTTTTTCTCTAATTCTTTTTTTCTCCTAGGAAGAATGGGATTCTTTTTCTTCTTCTTTATGCGGCAGAAAAATGAGATCTAATGGAGTCTTCACGTAACTGCCGATGTTTCCCCATGTTACAGTCCTCCTGTCGAGTTCGTCTCTCAATAGTTATTCTGTATTTCTTTCTGCATGAAAGGAAAGGAACAAGAGTGGGAAATCCTTCTCCAGCTATAGGGTAACAGGACTTCCCTTATAAAGAATGCCTGTAGGGGACAGCTGGGTGCCGGTTGAGAAATGAAATATGGCAGAATGTGAAACCCTGGTCAAAGATTAAAGTAGTTTGCCTTGAAACATTTTACCCAGGCTCAAGAATGCTGCTAATTTCTACACAGTAGTCTCAAAGCACCAAGACACAGACATTTTCTTCTTTGAACATTTCTGATCTAGTGTCATGTGAACTGTGTCACATCACTGCTTTGTATTGATCAAAGCCAAATTTCTTTCCAGTAACAGGGGTGGGGAAGCACTTTATGCAGAGTTCAAACAAGAGATCTGACTATTCAGTTGCATTTCTCACTGAAACTGTATATTAACTAACTAATCCTCCCTTCTCCCTCTGAGAAAGCTGCTATGTAATGTCAGAGGAGGAGGTAGTATGATGAATTAAGTAAAGGGATGTAGAGGGTAGATAAGAAATAAAAACAATTGCTCGTGCATCAGAAACAGTTTTTCCTGTGTGTCTTCTTCTAGGGCCTTTTGAAGAATTCTGTTATGTTACTTTATACGTCAAACAAGCCCTCTGACTGCCTTTCAGTTTCCCCTTTAGTATCCCCAAAATCATTAAGAAGATTCCTATCTATATTTCATGCATTTATGCTTCTACTCATTTTCAGGACCAATTTTTCCAAAAGGCATTAGTACAGCCCCAAATGCATACAGCTCGGCTTGTGAAGATGTGTGACAGAAATCTTGTATGCCAAGTTTGCATGCTTGGTTGTGGTAATTACAGATCCAAATGAGAAGTAATCAGAAGATACATACAGTTTGAAAGGCATCGAAGCTGCAGGTACAAGTTACTGCCAGGCACACAATTGCTAGACCTACATTTTCTGAAAATCTGACCTATACATCTTCATATGGTAGATTTCATCTGTTTACTCTAATGGTGAAATTAGAGGATTGTCCCTATACTTGCTTTGAGTAAGTGCAATCAGATGTCCAGGGTGAATTTCTCCCATGTGTCTTTAGGTGTCTCATACATGAAGATGTATCTGACAGAGTACCCAAGGCTTCCTTCAGCCCAAGATATATCTTTAGCCTCATTTCATGTCTTCACATACCAATTCCATCCTCAATATCAGCAATGATAAAAAACACAGCTCAAAACTGTCACCTCAGAGTAAGAATTTATAAAATATGCAAGTACCTCTGATGACATACAATATAAAGACAGACTTGTATTTTCTTTTAAAGAGAGTCTTTAATCAGTCTTGGCTAACTTATCTTCTTTCAAACAACATATTATATAAGCACCAAACACATGTAAGAATAAAATCACACTACAGAATTTTAGTTGTAAGCACCTGATGAATAACCATGGTTCTGGGACCTTTGAAACCCTGGAAATGTGTTGTTGAATTGAAGCATTTTTTGCTTTTTTTGTTTTGTTAACATTCTTTTATAAACAAATATTTTTATTGGATTGAATTAGTTAATTCTTATATGCAGAGGTTAATTTTATTCTCCTTTTTTCTTCCATAGCACAAAAGGATAAATTATACTATATATAATATATTCAACATGTATAACTAATTTATTCTGTCAGTGTAGGATCAGCTCTTAAGTCTTGAGATTTGTTGAAGAGCTGTGAAAGAATTATTTTACTTAACTGATCACCCTGCACTGACCTCAGCTTATTAAGTTAAATGCACAGCTTTGAAATCCAAATTCTCTGTTATACTGAAACAGGAATCTCTTTCTAGCTTCCAGGACAATTCTGCTCAATACTGAAAAATTAAGCATGGTACCAGGCAAGTGAGATAAACCTTTTGCACAACCACACCCTGCACAATTGTGCTGGCAAGAAGTACCAAAGGCAGCTTTTGAGGCCAGGGTGCTTTACTAAAGCAACTGTGAATGACTAGAACTCATTGGAATTACTTCCACAAGCAAAGTTACTCAGAGATGTAAATGGTTACGGGATGAGACCTTGAGTTAAAAAAACGACCTGGATATACACAAAAGGACAATCCAAGTGTGCTGTTTTGGTGGGAATTTTACCACAGATTATTATGATGCCTCCCTGTCTCACATCAAGGATGTGCTGCCAGGAGCTAAGAGGCTTTGAAATAAAGAATTCACAGAACTTTCAAAGAAGTGGACTAACCTGAAAAAGTAAAAAGCCATTAGCAATCCTGCTCCGAGCAAGGCGCCCACAACTATTCCTGTGACTGCTGATTCTCCTAGACCACCTGCTTGAAAGGGGGAAAAATAAACAATCAGGGTTCATATTGAGAACTATCTGCATTCACATTTTGGAAAATATACAACTAGGAAATGAGTGACCAACATCAGATAATACAAAAGCCTTTCAGACCTCAGGACTCCATGGGAACCTCTTTCTTAGTTCCAGTTTCTGCATGTTTATTTTTTGTCCTTGCTTTTCTGGGGTTAAGTCCTGAAGATCAGTGTCAGATGAAGACACAGTTCTAGAGATGTGATGCACAGGAATGCTGTTAGCAAACCGGTCTGGACAACTTGGTCTGAATCATAAACCCAGACTGGGATTACAGTGACGCACATAATGGAAATCAGCACTTAATATACCCTGAGTGATTATAACAGAAACAAACTCATTTCACTTAGCATCATAATCCTCTATCACCCAGATTTTTTAAAATAAATGTATGATTATCCAGTGGTTCCTCAATTCATTTGTTTCCTCTGAACCTATGTTATTTCAAGTCAAACCTGTATGAGCTTTGCCTTGCTTCAGATCTCAGCAGAGGCAGAGCAAGAAGCACACTGGCTGATGGGGAGCCCAAGTAGGGACTGTTACTCTGTAAAGTGCAAGGCAATTTTGTCTGTACATCAGGATGTGTGGAAAAAGGTGCACAGCTACACCATGCTAAGCATAAAGGACATGGGCTGGAAACAGCCTCTACAGTATGTACATACACATAGGTTTTTCAGGAACTGAAAAATCATCAGGCTGCAGATACCTTGTCACTGCAGCACTAGCAATTTGTTTCCTGTGGATAGCTGAGACCACTCTTTGCCACTGTGGCACCAGTATCTTCCTACCCTTATCTCCCTGGAACATCCTGCTCACTACAATATGATCTGCAAAGTCAGTATACTGCAAAGCAAGGGCACCTTCTCTGTGGACAGTAGTCACAGCCTTCTGGATTCACAGACTTCACTTCTTCTCAGTCTACTGGCCACTCACAGTGCCCTCTCAATAGCAGTGAAAATCATTCTGCACTGGAAGAACACTGCTCCTGTCAACACTGCCTTCCCAGCTGCTAATTATCAATATGGTTATTCTTTATTTGAGGTTTCAGTTATGTCTTTCTTTCTGGCTAAAACAGATTTTAGATTTCTGGCTAAAAGAGATTTTAGTCCCTGGAAAAGTCCTAAAGTCTCCAGGGCCCTGGACTGTGCATCATGATTACTGTCACGTTTAAATTCAGGGAAGTAATTCAGACCACATATTACCCACAGCTGCCAGACCTTAACTTCCCCAACAGTCAGCAGAGACTTAGTCATGATGTCTCAATAGGACAACTGTGCTAACAAATTTAATATGTCCCATTACGTCGCATCACCACATGGATTTCTCTCTCTGACAGCCTGGGCAGAAGCATTAAGTCACTAAACTTACATGATTTACATGGTGTGTTGTTCGTGTGCTCTGAAACCCGACTTTCATCTAGTCGCAGCCTGCCATGATTCCAAGGATATTTCACATTTGGCCGAATTTCAAAACGCCCCTGCTTTCCATAGTAGTCCCCGATCACCTATGAAAAAAAAAAAAAAAAGAATGAAAAGATTTTCCAATCAATTTAGGAAAGTAAAACTAAAGAAGAGAACAGCATCACTCACTTGGATGGCTGTGCAGGATGTTGAATCACAAAGAACCAGGCTAAAGGGGTCTGTAGGAGGTTATGCAGTGCATGCCCTGCTCCAGGGCAGGATCAGTTGAACAAAAGCATTCCTGACAGATGTTTATCTAACCTGTTCTTAAAAGCATTCAGAGATGGAGACTTGACAATTCCTGTAAGCAATTATTCTGGAATTTAGCTATCCTTATTGTCAGTGTTTTTTCCTAAGGTAACCTAAATCACCCTTGTTGTAATTATCACTACTTACTTACTGAACTGCCAATGGACAGAGACTTGCTTTCTGAAACACTGCTTTACATACTCACAGTATCCTATCTGGTGTGCCCTTAGGCTCCTCTTCTATATAAACCCAGTTCACACAGCGTTTTTTAACGCTCTGAATACTCTTCCTGCTCTCCCTGTGCTTTCTTCGATTGCTCCATAGTGGGTTGAGTGATCAGGACTGTCACCCAGCTAAGTGAAAATATCATTTCAAATGTACTGAGGCTCCTGACTACACAACTCCAGCCTGGACTTACCTGTTTTGCAAGGATCTGCAGGTACTTGATCATGTTCAGCTAAAATCTTTGAATCTTCTGAAGAACTATGATGGAGCCTGTCATTCTCCACCTTTTATTTATGCAGCTGTTGACATCTACATAGAAAGGGACTTTCATGCTTATTATTCTGGTAGAATAGACTATTATTTCAGACCAATTCATCAAGATACTTTAGAATTTCAGTCCTGTCCTCAACAGCAAATCCAGGCTTTACCCAAAATAATATATGTTGGGTCTACTGCAAAGCTGCAGGACTCAATTGTGCTAGGTCAGTCACTAGAAAATAGTTCAAAAAAACCCTAGGTACAGTAGTAAGTCAATTATCATGACACTGAAGTAGTCAGAAACAATGGTAGAAGGATGTATTTCTATTCATAGTGTTTCTACCATGGATAAAAACCATCTATTAATACACTAGGTTTATAATTCGAGCTACTGATGGCCTGTTCAAATCTCTCACCTAAACTTGACTTTGAAAGGAGTTCTGAGATAACGTTTGCCTGGGTTATGTACAGAAAGACAGATTTCATACTAAATAAAGAAATTACTTAGTTTTGCTATGGAAGATAAATCCTTAGAAGACCTTTTTAAAACATTTATTCAAAAATAAAGGCAAATTCAGTGAACTGGAAAAAGTAAAGAGAAGAAAACTCTGAGACCGTTTGCAGGCAGCAAACTGTTCAGTAAGAGACTGCTTAATTTATCAAACAGGAGTGGGAGAGTTCTCTACCAGCACAGCTTGCTAAATAGGAAAGCATGAAAGGCTTAAGGAGACCAAATAGTTATAAGCAGCCACCAAACAGATTCAGATCAGAAGTAGGATATGTATCTTTAAAAAGCAAGTGTAGTTAAACAGTGGAACAAACATCGAGGGAGGAAGCGAGGCAGTCCCTGTTCTTTCAGTGTCTACAAATGAAAAACAATGCCTGTTACAGTATGAGCTTTCATCACATGTAAATTACAGGGCTTCATACAACAGCAAGAAACCTGCCCGCAGAGTTCAAACTAGGTCATCTAGTGTTTTCTTCTAGCTTTAAACTCTGTGAATGAACTTGGAAAATCAGCTCTGCCCAAATACCCATTCATCTGGCTTAGTTCAGCTAAGAAACATCTCATACAAACACACAAAAATTTGGCAAAATTAATAAAACAAGACAAGGAAGAAACAAAGTTTTTAGTGTGAGGCATAAGGGTAGAAACGAATGTAGCAGACACAAGTAGTAAGTAACCACATCTAAAATATGTTAATTTATATTATTGTATATTGTAGATTTATATCTAAAACAGAGAGAAATTAAAATGAGCAATATGGTAAAGGAAGAAATGTAATATCAAGAAATAAAAGATAGTTTAAATTGTGAGTGAAAGAGCAATGGAAGGAAGGGTAGGAGAGGGGGATTACATTGATAGGTGAAAGAAAGAGCTAATGGGGTGAACAGAGGAAATACAAGTAGTTCAAACCAAAGATATCCTAATCAAACTGTACTCCTAGCTTCAGTTAATGATGACTACTCCTATTCTCTGTAGTGTCTGCAGTTCGCTGCTGTAGTTTTTCAGTTACTTCTACACACTAAAATACATAAAAAGAAACCAGACATCCTGACGCTTTTAAAAAAGGCTTCTTGAGTTTTTTCTCTGCTGCAGCACAGACAGAAACATTATAACTTCACTGGATTCCACATATAGAAATGTCCAGCTCAGACTTGCTGCTACTGTATGGTTGAGACTGATGAAACAGGGGAGGCCAGCAAAGCTTACGTAGATGCTGACGCTGCAACTAACAGAAGCTTTACGCTGCAGCTGGAGTTAGGGCAATGCATGTACTAACAAACTCAAGCCAGTCTTGCTATTCTCTATGTGCAGCTGGTGCTATTTCTCATAGGCTGTTTTTTACTCTCTGACTGCTTCCACTGCTGCTGCACCTAGTGGAATAACCCACGTGGTGTATGTGGAGCTGTCTGATTAAAATGTCTCTTAAGCATCGAAAACAAGACACTCAGGTCTTGGTGCCTGATAGACAAGGTGAGGCAAGGTCTGCACTCCTGCCTATAGTTGACCACAGGGTAAGACTCAAATACCTGTAACTCACTGTGCTCATACATTAGGGTGATTTGTGCAGCCCTATTGCTATAAAGTTAACCTCTCTTCTTACCAATGAATAAAAAGCCCTGCTCATTTTAAACAGCAATTTCCCATATTCAGAATTTACCAGTGCTTAGCTAGCTTCTAGGATTTCACCTTTTAAATTTTAAAGACTCTAGCATCATATGAAGAAAGATGTCTTGTTAAAGAAAAGACGTTAAGAAAATTTTAAAAAAGCTTAGAATAACTAATTCAAGACAATTATTTTACAGAAAGGATTTGGTCTCGTGGTTGATAAAATTAAGCAATACCATTTTAAATTGCATATTAAATAAGCAAATGTTCACCAAGTAAACAGATGATATCATGTGGTATTACATTGGCTAATTAATCAGTGGCCAACTGCAACAGTGTTTGTTTCCTTACCTCCTGTATGCCTGCCTCTGGGTCTGTCATTCCAATCACAGAGAAATCCCCGTATCTGTCTCCATTGGCATCAATGGACACCTGCCCTGCAATGCCTACAGAATGGCATGTGAGGAATTAGAAAATTAATTAAAATACTGAGTCTTTCCAAGGAAAACAAGAAAACAAGTGGACAGGTTTTTACAGACTGATATGACAGGAAATCTTATCAGTCTCCCAGCATTTTTGCTGGCATTCCAAAAGAAATTGTAATTTCATCCCAATGTCTGCATTCCTGAATTCTTAACATTTCTCCTTTTTAAATATCAAATGTGTGAGGCTGTTTAGGGAATACGTGAGAAAAATCTAATCCAAAAGCCAGCATGCAAGAATAAAAAACAAAGGGTTAATGTGAATTATTTACAGAAAGCCTAACCCTTAAGTACCTAATGATGCCTCAGTAAGGAAAGTCCAGCTCATGTGCTGCAGAGAACACAGGGGCACAGCCCTACACCCCGCAGACTAAAGGGGTTTGTGCACTCATAAAGCCAATCCAGTGCTGTCTCCATCTGGTGGGATACTGGAGGCGGCATGGAGAGGAAGCACCATATGCACTATGTTTAAGTCCTGCATTCAGTTACATAGGATTAACTTCATAATATGGTGCTGTTTATTTTATATTTTTAGACACACCCTCACCCCCCGAGTTCACTTTCTTCCTTTACAAGTTCTAGGAAACTTTAGGGAAACTGGGAATCATAGAGATACGGTAACTTAAGTTTGAAAGGTCTTAATGAGGTCTTGAGTCCAACCTCCTGCTAAGAGAAAGGTCAGCCAGAAGGTCAGAATAGGAAGATGTTCAGGGGTTTATCTAGTCTTCAAAACACCCAAGGATGGCAACTTCACAACCTCCCTAGAGCAACTTGTTCCGATGGGCATGGTGAATAAACTCTTCCTTGTATTCAGTCTGAAACTCGTCTTTCAATGTAGGCCCTTGTGTATAAAAAGCATGGCTCCAATCTCTTATGCTGCAAGTCAAACAGGTTCTTAAAATCCATTACACACTAGCAATTAACTATGATGAAGACCCTGTAAGCCTTTGCTGATAGCTTTATCTCCTTAGATATTCCAAAATGCGATCCTCCACTGCCTGGCACCAGACATACACATTTACACCAGTGCAAATCAAACACGCATCATTATTGTCCTGGGTTCAGCAGTAGCAGTCATTTTTCTCCTTCTTGGTAGCTGGTGCAGCGCTGTGTTTTGACTTTCGGCCTGGGAACAGAGCTGATAACACTGATGTTTTGGTCTGGCCAAGGACTTTGTGAGCCTCATGCTCTGCCAGGGAGGAGGGGAAGCCAGGAGGAAGCAGAGACAGGACACCTGACCCAAACTGACCAAAGAGGTATTCCATACCACAGCACGTCATGCCCAGGATGTAATTGAGAGCTACCCGGAAGGGCTGGTAGACTGCGGGGTTGGAAGAGGCATGGGTCGGTGCTGGTGAGGCTGGGGGGGCAAGTTATGAGTCAGCAGGTGGTGAGGTGTTGTATCCTCTTCCCTTGTTATTTCCTTTATCATTATTATCATTGGTGGTAGCAGTAGTGATTTGTGTTGTACCTTAGTTACTAAACTGTTCTTATCTCAACCCATGGGAGTTGCATTCTTTTCGATTCTCCTCTCCGTCCCTCCAGGAGTAGGGGGAGGGCAAGAAGGGGGGGAGTGAGTGAACGAGCTGTCTGGATGGGTATAAACCACGACAATTATACATCCACATGACACCAACTTCATGACCAGACCAGGCACAAAGCAGTAGAGAATCAAATTCTCAGTGACTGTACATCAGAAGAGAGAGTGGTCAGAAATGCAGTCAAATTATAAATTCCCCTCAACATACCTGATGATAGTAAACACGCAACAGATTAACACACCTCTATTTATCTGCCTCTGTTCCCATTTAGTGATATAAGGAATGTCTAAACTTAAATGTGATCTTCAAAACACACAACGGCCACCAAAAGATTATTGTTGAGCATCTGTTTCATTACAATACAGTTACTAAACAATTCCCAATTTGATTACTGCAGGAAAACAGAATGGTATAAAAACTGCTTGGCTGTGAAAGCACTGGAAGAGGCCACTATAACAAACTGCAACATCCTTGAAATTTGGATTCTGGAACCTTTCTGGTTTAGAAAGCTAAAACTCAGTTTTTGGAAGTAGGTATTAAATTGGCTGGAACTCAGAATTCCTATGCATTTTTTTTAATGGGATAGACTAATTTTTAACTTTTCCTTCCGAAAGAAACCAAAGAGTTTGAAATGTCAACATTTCCTGCAATGTTCTTCCATGAGAAACATACTTAAGAAATTTTGAAACAACCTGAATGAAGAACTGTGTTTGGATGAAGGTGAAAGGATTTTATCCGGATTCTTTTTTTGTTCTGTTAGGTACATACAGAAAATTTTGCTACTTTTTCAGAGGAAATGCCAATAAATAGAAAATATTCTCCACAAAACTTGCCCTGGAGTCATACCAGGGTGTCCCTAGCAGCCCTAACAGTAAGAAATCCTTTGATTACCTCAGCCTTATCCTTTCCTAAACACATGATGCTGTCCATGCAGTTGTGGCTGGCAGACTGCAAACACTGCAGGAAACAGCATCCACATTCTATTAGAGTTGTGATAGGTGACCTATTCAGAACTGGCTGCAAAATGAGGTGCCCTGGCAACCAAATATCTAATTATCACCAGTTAATGTAATTAATGAAACTGGAATTCTCATCATCGAGGCCTGCAAAAGTTTAAGTGAATTATAAAGCTTCAGTCCTGCAGTAGAACCTGGTGGATGTACGCATGGACCATACTCCAAGATGCTGCATCAACTTCAGAGAGGGGCTTACAGGCAGAATAAAGGGACAACATTTTCCTAAAAGGACTGGCTTGCAAGACATTGAGTTAAAAGTCTCTTTCAAAATCAGTTTTATCCTTGTAAATTATGTCCAGCAAAGTACTATCACAGAGAAGAGATGGCATGTGACTTACATGGCATTTTGACCTTTTAAACTGCACCCTCAAGGCTCAACATGACAGCTACATTTTCAGAGTAGGTGTGACAGGTCAGCCAGCAACAACAAACTGGTTTTCACAAGTGGGGAAAGAACATTTTTTCCTCCCTGATTAGATTTACAAGAAAGGTGCGAGAATCAACCATGTAGCCTGCATGGAGCACATGGTACTGTTAAAAGTGTTGCGTGGACACACCTGCTGGTGGCTTCCTAGAGAACAGAAAGTACAGGCTGTGCTGGGGCATCTGTCCATACACAAGATAAGCAAACAGTAAGGCAAATCCTTAGACACCAGACTCCCTCTGCTAAAACAGTGTGTTTTGGGAAACCATGGATGCAAAGAGAGGTACTAGGACATCAAGGACAGTCTGCATCTGGTGGCAGGGCTCCTTATGGGATGGCTGCAACCAGAACAATTTAAAGCAATCTCTTGTGTTGCCTTCAGCTGCCTTGGGGACCCTCCCACCTTGTGTTTAGGATAAAAATTGAGAACAGAAGAGAGGAGCTGCTATACTTCATGCCTTCCTCCACTAGGTCCAGTGTGCCCTTAGAGCAGAGAACCTAATCCCTGAGGTTTTCCTTGCACATTCAAATATATCATTCATTCTTTATCCAGGGGAAATGTCTCCTCTTAGGCATTTCCATATGAAATATTGCCAATCCTACACCAGAACACTGGAGTATTCTAAGAGATAAACAGCAATATTCTAAGATATGACTGATTAATCCAGTAATACTCAGTTTCTTTATGATGGTCCCTACCTCGCAAAAGCACTTCCATCACCTTGCATCAGCAGGGTGACATGTAAGTGCCAGCTGCACTGTGGAACCGCAACCTACAGGATTAGGTACAGAAAGGCAGAGTGCTGTTCAGCTGCTGCCTCTGAGATAATTGGCTCAGCTCCTGAAAGAAGGCTGGGTGGACAGCCTTCAGGGGCCCAAAGAAGTCCCGTCAGGAAACAAAAAAAACTGCTTCCTTCTATCTATTCCTAGGCTTTTAAGATAAAAAAGTCAAATGGAAAAAAATGAGGCAATCTCAGAGCTAATAGATGCATATGAGTAAAGTGAGCAGCTGTAATCTTTTCAAAAACAAAGAAGGAGCCTGAGAAAATTACTGGTATTTCTTTACAACATCAATGAAGGTCATTAAATTGTTAGGAGTTTTTTGAACTGAGTAAGACCTGAAGGGGTGGTGCAGAAGAAAGTCAGACAGGGGAGGTATGTGAGCCGGCCTTGAAGATGTATGTGGTTTCATATGGTTATTTCCCTCTCATTTGAGAATGGAGTAGGCATGGGTCCTTACTCTGCACACAATAAATACCTGATTTTTTTTTGACTCTGAAAGCTGGAATTCTGTATTAACTCTTACCTTCATATGTTCTGTTTCGTGTTTGCTGAACAATTTTTTCACCATCTTTCTTACTGAAACCAAACTTCAGGACTTCCTGTAAAGCTAGAGCATAAAGAAGAATAGCATCATGGAATCCTTCCACAAACATGTTCACCTAAAAAAAAAAAAAAAAAAAGAAGAAAAAAAAAGCAATGGCAATTGACACACACAAAAATTTTCTTCCTATGGAATTTAATAACTAGAGAGAATATTTAAATTAACCATTATGACAGATTCAGATTATTTTCTCAACTGCTAGAACAGAAAGGAATGTGTCTCAAAAGAAAACAAACCCAAAACAAAACACCAAAACCCCCCCAAACCCCCAAAATCCAGGAGGAAAATGGCAAGTTTTGACTCATTTTAAAAAACAGTTAACCACTATCTGTTATTCTGAACATTCACATCACACTTTAATATTGTGTCTGAATAGCTCTGCAGATAGGGGAGAAATCTGCAGATCACAGTTCCCAAGTCCAGACGCACAAATTCTGCAGCTGACCATGTGAGATTCTGTAAGGTGCTGAACACTCTCACCCCACAGCACCGAGCATATCTTCCTCCTGCTGCACAGAAGACGTAGCACCTCTCAGGATTGGGAAGTATGTTCTGCCATGATTTTTTTTGGAGAGTGCAACTGATGGATTTGCTTGTTTAATGATTACCACTTCCATGTCTGGCCATTATTCAGCTGAGCATCTCTCCATGAGCAAATGAGCAATGGAGGAAACTACTTACCCTCTAAAGTAATGCATTCTCTGGAACTGCCCCTGTCCTTTACAGTTTTTTCAATAAGTGACATGAAATGAATGAGATGTTGCTTTATAACCCTAATATAAAAGAAGACTGCTGCCAACCAGGTCTGCTTCCCATGAGTCTGTGCAGGCAACCTACAGCTTTTGGTCTACATCACTGTGAATAACATCAACAGTTAAAAGGAGAGTGCTGCAGAAACACTTCGGGTTTGTTCACAGAAGCCTGGCGTGCTTCAGTGATGAAACAAGATTTATTTTAGGAACTCAGTTCATATGGAGACCCATCAGCACGAGCAGACACAGATGGCTTGAGTAGCACAGCTACTCCTCCTCTGTAAGCAGCAACTCACATCTCAGTAGTGCAATGCACCCTGGCTTGATGCACAGTAATTCAGAATGAATTATCTTTTCAGCTGCAAGAAAGGTGTTTCCATTCACTCAGAGTTGCATAACAGTGGAAAAGCTCCTGACATCCTAGCAAAGACATAATCAACAATTATACATTATGGGGTCTCTTACTGCTGTTTCCAGTGAACGACCCACTTCTACAAATCTTCTGGTTAGCAGAAATATTTACCTTACCTTCCACCTCTGTTTTTAAACAATTTAAAATGTTGGTAAATAAAGTGATACTCTGACAGTCTTGGCTGGACATTAACAATGTTAAAAGATAAAAACATGTAGCCAGTTAAGTAAATAACTGCTCCATAGATAAAAAATATTACATAGTTGATTGGCTGAGCTGAACTAACCAAGCCCCTGGTAATGTAATTACACACAAGACATTCCTTCACTGTAAAACCAGCTGCCAATGTTCAGGAGAATTTCAGAATTATTCACTGATAATACAAAAGTTTACATTGCTCTGGTATTTAAAATTTGACTTTTAGATAACTCCAACCTTTGTTTTATTGAGAAAACACACTACCAGTTTAGGGGAAGAGCCCGCAGTGCTATAGGAGACACAGAACAGCTCAGCTCAGTTTGACAGCAAAACACTAAGAGGCAGCTACGTTGTTTTAACCTAAGGAGAAGGCATGAAAGAGGAGGTGAAAATCAGACTTTCAGTGGAATAACAAGATCTGACGGACAGAGTGCACACTGGGGCAGGCTTTGCCAGTTGGGGGTTTAACTTTTCAGAACTGAAAAAAAAAAACACCAAACCAAGAAAACCACAAAGCTCGACAACTGTTTTATGTGCCAGCACTTGAGTCCAAGTGGCCTGTGGATGATCAAACATGTGCTTTCTTCTGTGACACTCATTCTCACAGGAGTGAAATTAGTCTCTCTAGTTGGTCTACCTCCCTGCTGGCTGATTTACAGCTTGTTCCTGGCACCTATTTCAAGGAAAGCTATTTGTCACTTCCTTTGTCTGCGGCAAAGACCTCTTAGTGTAACACAGCAGCCTTCAAAACCTATTTTGTCAGCTAATTTGCTCCATCTGAAATCTATAGATGCCACCAGCCTGAAAACCCTCCTGTAGACACTGCAGATTTGACAGATAAGTCCCATCAAAACTCACTTGGTGAGTACGAGGTTATAGCCAGAGCCCCTTGCCTTGACTCCTGGCTAAAAGCCCTAATGTTACATATCAAAAATCACATTAGAAAATCATCAGATCAGCTGTGCCACTTCCCAGTTCCTCACACAAACCCCAGCACTTTATCTTACATTGTCAAGGAAGGTGAAACTTCAGGCATTTTGTGCCATTTCAAATCTCCTAAAGGAGTAATATTCACTGTCTGCAGGTGAGACTGCACCTACACTCTCCAGCCAAACTGTATGTAGAGCACACTGGCTGCTTTTAACATTATTCCAGGAACATGCTCAAGCACCAGTTCTTGAAATAGGACACAGGATGCCATGAAGGGCATAATGTTTTCCTGCATCTCACCTTGCCTGATCATTTAGAAGTTGCCACGATCCTACACAGAGAACTGGTTGCATGCTGTGTAGGACTGCTCTAACCTATAAAAGGAGAAAACATTGAAGATGGGAGGAATATTACAGTGCAAAGTAACAGCTGCAGATAATTCTGAAGGGATTGCTCTGTCTTTGTACCATTTTCCACCTGTCCAGGGCTTGCTTACATTCACTCTGCAGCCTGTGACTGTCTACAACAGATCCTCTGGGTAAAAAAGAGCGCAAAATTTGCTCCAACTGATACCGCTCCTGACTTAGCAGAAGTTTCCCAAGCCATACAATCACAGGACTTCCTTTCTGGAGAACATTAGCTCTGTTAATACCTCATATACCTCATTGATATGAAGGATTTCCTTTCTTTTTTTTTTCTTTTTTTTTTTTTTAATTATTTTAACATAGCTTCTGTTCTCCATTCAGTCCTATAAGAAATGCTAAACAGGCTAAGACCCAAAACAACAATGTTCATACTTTCTGCCTTGTGTATCTTTGAATTTTAGAGTATCTCATGGTAAGAATAAATAATACTTACAAAAGAAAACAAACATCCTTCCTTTGCTGTGAAGAGTGGGGTTGATTGAAGAATAGGGTTGTAAATAAGTAACCTCAAGAATATTAGGCTTTGTTAGCAACTATAGAGAAAACAAAATTACTAAAATAAGCTTTGCCAGAACCACTGATGGTTACATATCAGTGGTTACTGATATGACAATAATCCTAAAACAAAGTGATGGAAAGCCCACTACCACATTTTTGTATGCATACAGGAGGCATTGTCTAAGAAGTATTATGTAATGTATGTAATCTAATGAATATGTATGTTTAAGGACAATATAATCACAGCCTGGTTGATGCCTGGGAGAGACAAGTTTGGAGGAGCTATCGCCCATGTCTCCCGGAGCTGCAATAAAGAATACCTTGTCAACTTAAAACTTCGTTGGTGAGTTCCTGGAGTTTTCTCTGAATCAGCTGCAAGAAAAGGGTTAAAAATGGCTAGAAGAAGTAAAATGTTCCATGAATGCTTCAAACAGGGATGAGAGTAAATGTGAAGGTGTCTTCATAGTTTGCTTGAAGGTCTCCATAGTAATTAATGATGTGTGATTCAACATCAGAGAGCCCTCAGGACAAAACTAAACAGATTATAAAAGCTATTAAAGATCTACTAATCTTGTACATAACTAACAGTTCTTTTAGTTAAGCTCTAATAAAAAGCAGAAATTTTTATTATAGTAGTTTCCATTTTGATTTATTCTGTTTTTTTAATTACTAGTGTGAGCTTAGCTCCAAATGCTGTGATCACAAGTTGCATGTCACTTCTACTAAGATGTTTCTGTCCCTGACCTGAGCTGCACAGCAGAGCCACCCCTCAATGTCCATCATCAGCAATACAAGTAGAGCTGCCATGTTTGCTGAACATCCTTGGAGACTGCAAATAAAAGTATGTGGAAACCCTCCCTGCTGAGGTATCTTCCATATTACTTTCACATCCAATTCAAGATACCACGTAACTAAATGCAGGTAAGCTAATTGCATAGTAGGAAGAGATGAGCACATATTTGTGCCTTTTATTTTCCTACTTTTCTACTCTAATTAGCCATTTTTCATCAGAAAAAAAAAACTCTCCATGGCAATCACATGAATAAACTTTACACAGTTCAAAGTTACAGTTCCCCAGGCAGCTATAGTATGACCACACTATTCATATATACAAAGGTGTTAACAGCATACGCAGCAATACAGAATACTACCAACATGGAAGACAGCCAAGCTACAGCTATTCGGGACCCATAATTTTCCATATCCAGCCCACTGACTGTTAAGTAAGCTTATTCTCTTCTGTCTGGAACTGCCCAGCTCTAAATCACAGCAAGTACAGCGATTCATACCACTTCTGTGCTAGGTGGGGAAGACTATCATCACTTTTTTTTGTACTGCAAAAGCACACAGCAAACACTCCCCAACTCAGTCTCTGCATACACTTCCCGTTACATCTGCAGTGATTTTCAAGTTGTCAAACTATAGTCCCAACCAAAGTTAGTTAGGATCCTGGGACACTGTATGCACTTCTTTCAAAAATCTTACCAATTCACATACTTGATATGATGCTCAAGGTAACGTATTTTTGTTTTCTGTTACTTTTAGTTTGCATAAACTCGGTGAGAAACTCCAGGTGGAAGCAAGATTGAGAAAGTGAAGCCAAGAGGAGAATATCCTTACATCTGGGTGTTACCTGTGAATAAGTGAAGTGCATTTCAAACCAGTAATGCGTGTCCAGATTCAGCTTTTGCAATTATTTTTTAGACCTGTTGCCATAACACTACCACATATCACCCTGTGTGTTACCATTCAGGACATAACAGGATTGTTACAGCTCTCATTAATTCACTGTCCAGCTCCTCAGATCCTCACGTGATTTTCTTATGCCACTATGCAACAGAAA